TATTTCTCAATGATAGGGTAAAATTTCGAGGCTTTATTTCACGTTTTGATGATTTTATTGAAATTTTTGATGATTCCCCATACATTTCCTTATAACAGGACACCACAGAAACCAAGCTTGGGCCACCTGTGATTCCTCGAGTCATTATCAACCTGTTGTCACGGTTATCGGTCATAAAAGATGCACCAACTTTTAAAAATCCTTTTCCAATTTTCCTCCTTTTTGAACTAAAACCATCTTTTACTAAAAACTTCATGCAATTTTTCCGCTAAAAACCTAATGTACCTTTGATTTACACCCATTTTCACACTTACCCGACCAAGCTTCAGTTATCTAGATTGCTGTCAATCAACATGAAGCATTGCTTAACTCAGATCACAAGCAGTCCAAACAAGGTTCCTGTGTATGGTTTATAAGGGAAGGTATGGGAGTTATGATAAAGTTATGAAAATAAAACGTTTCACTCAACAATTTGCCTCAAAACTTGCTGCAGTCGTTGCTTTTACTTTGTTCAGTCTTCTGGCGAAGTTTCAGCGCGATTTGAGGCCGTTTAGTGGGTTTTTTCAAAATCCGCTTTTCTCTACCTTTATCGAGCTGAAACTTCGCCAGAAGACTGAACAAAGTAAAAGCAACGACTGCAGCAAGTTTTGAGGCAAATTGTTGAGTGAAACATTTTATTTTCATAACGTTATCATAACTCCCATACACTCCCTTATAAACCATACACAGGAACCTTGTTTGGGCTGCCTGTGCTCAGATCGTCGAATATGTGATTGACGGATGAATGGAACTTTTGGACTGTTGTCCTGGTCGCGTAATTAAGAAAATGCCTGCAATGTAACCTGAGTAAATAGTACATAATTTTTCACACAAGTCGTTTCACGAACCAACATCAAGTCTGAAAAGCCAGGAGCTAGAAACAACTTAAAACCATCCCTGTGGAATGAATCAAGAATGAATCTAGATCCTCTGCATCAAGCCAGATACAACTTCTCTTCTCTCTTCATAAGAGTTTTACAAGTCAACATCAAATCTAAAACGCTCGGACGGAGCTAGAAACAACTTAAAACCATCCTTGTGGACTGAATCAAGAATGAATCTAGATCCTCTGCATCAAGTCAGATAAATTAATTCTTCTCTCCATAAAAACTGCGTTGTTTTATCCAACTGCTTTCCTCGTCTTACAAGGCAACATGGAGTACTGTATGTATTCACCCTCAAAACTGGAATTCTATTCTCGTGGGTAGAGCGATAGCCACAGATCTTTGGCCATTTAAACTCTGCTAGCACGAACCTATAGTGATTCCTTTACTTTCCGCTTCTCCTATCGGGAGATTCCTCGATGAAACCAAGTTCAAAATATACCGACGAATATAAGTCATACCCATTTGGTCACGTCTTGAGAGTTTGACTAAAGTCCTCCTTGTCCCTGCTTCCTCGTCGATTCCACAGCTCAACTTCCTCAGAAAAAACCGACAAAGTTTCCCTCGCAGGTATCGGGCAAGAATGAGTTCGAGAAAGAGCGTCCTTTTGTGGCAACAACGTTGAATTTGCTTCGATTACTGGTGAGCCGAGCGAGTCACGTGACTCTGCTTCATGCCCATCTTCTGTGTCTGCTCCTTCTTCTGTGAATGCTGTCGTTTTGGGGAATTCTTCAGAACAYTTTAGCGTTGGTGATAAGAATTGTCCCATTAATGAATACAATGATATCTTATATATACAGCTATGTTCTCTTGGTAGCGTCGGGGAAGGAGGACAGGAATTGGACTGGGTGGTTTGGTCATTTGACAACACACTTGTTCTTTTGGGTGGCGACGCCGCGAAGTATATATCCCACTATAAGAAAATGACATAATAAAATAACAGTTATAAATTTCGCTAATTATGATTGGTTAATGGTGCGTGCTTTATGAGAGCAGACAGCGCATGTGCGCACTTTCTATTTTGTCCCGTACTGGGACGCGTGGTGCTTTTCCTAAAACTTCTCTTGTTTTCTGACAATACGCGCGTGCTTAATAACTGCACACACCTAAAGCGCGCAATTACAATTTTTTAATCTATATCTTATATTTATGTGCTATATAACTTTACACAACATGCGCGCGCGTTTTTTTTTTTTTTTTTTTTTTTTTTTTTTCACTCGTAAAACACTCAACCAAAATTACTCGATTCTGATTGCACAAGAGGAGTACAATTAAATCACAAATTGTACTCTGTAGAGTCCCAACTAAGTTGCTCAGTTTTGTTATAAACAAAAAATCGCACAATCTTCTCGTACAATTCGGAATTTATAGATACTCGTGCTGCTTTGAAAGTTCTCAAATTGGAGTTGCCTAAAGGCTCGTTCAAATTTAACAAAGCTTTCAAAACATCTCTCATACCTATGAATTCCGAATTGTACTCGAGGTCGTGCGATTTCCTATACTAATTACAACTGTTTTCATGGCTACGCGCTCTGAAAAAGGGAGCTTACCTTGGAAGTTATCAACTCGAGTTTTGGAAGTGCGAGCGTATGGACCAGGTTGCCATTGACAACCAGGCGGATTTCAATGGTCGTGTTTGTGAAGGCCAATAAATAAGGAAATGCACAGACTGAAAACAACAAAAATACTCAATATATTGATAACAAGGTAAAGTACATACAAACATGATAGCTCTTGAGGCTAAGGCCGCGACCCCGTTGAGGGTGCAGCTGTTGCGCGTGCATAGTTGGACTGACACAACAAAGCCATTGCAATGTACCTCTGCAACTGTCGCGTGCTGAACGTAACCTGCCACATTGATGCCAATGGCTCACAACCAATGAAATCGCAGACGTTTCACTTACGCACTTTCATATTTTGACATTCGTATTCAAAATAAGGACATTTATGAACCGTATTTTATGGAATAGTATAACATATGCTTGCTATGCTGTGTGTATTTAGGAAGCACTTGGGAATTTGCAGAATACTCGAGTTATGTTGAGAAGAACTCCGCTAATCTTTATACTTCTCCTAAGACTCAGGTGAAAAGTCGAAAACTTCACATGAGCCGAACCTAATGACATCAGAGAAGACAGCTTTGTTATCCATTTGTTTCAATTAGGTTTGGCTCAAGTGAAGTTCTTGTGCTGTGCCTATCCCTGCGTGCTTTATAACTGCACACAACACACCGCGTGCGTTTTCTATTTCTTCAATATTTACTCCATCACCATAAAACTGTTAGCAAGACTTACCAATCGATCGAGGAGCTGAGTTCCAGTTAAAATAAAAGTTTGAAGATTGTTCGCCGCTGAGTTTTTTGAAGACGGACTGATCTGTAAGAATAATGGAAGACGATAATCAGGTTCACACGCCAGAATGCGCAGTATTATTTCGCGCAGCGGTAGTGCTCTCGACTCACCTCTGGGGTCCAAGGTTTGATATCAGGATTTGGCATCACATGTGAGTAGAGTTTGTTAAGCCTCTCCCTTGGTTTATGGGGATTTCTCCGGGTTCTCCGGTTATTTTCTCCCTCCGCAAACCTATCACGCTAAATTCCAGTTCGATCTGTAAGTTAGGCGTGCCCTGCCTTAGATCAGCCCAGAGGTTGTTTCAGGGTTCAATCTGTAAGTTAGCCGTGCCCTGACTTAGATCAGCCCAGAGGTTGTTTCAGGGTTCTATCGGTTAGTTAGCCATGCCCTGATTTAGATCAGCCCAGAGGTTGTTTCAGGGCATCGTAACAAATTTGAAGATTATTTTCATGACAGAGAGGTATAAGGTAACAAAAGTTATGACACTTGCGTAAAGTATAAAAAAAACAACAACTTACGATTAAAAGAGAGCAGTAGCTCGGGTTCTTCGTCCTCATACACATCAACAGCAGACACCAGAGTTGTTTTCTGGAGGAGAAAAAGTTTGATCCAATTTGTTAAAACTAAAGCACTACTTGCCACTTACACTAAACTACATCCCATTCCCCCAGAAGAGCCTGCGCTCCTACTGGTCAGAGAAAACTGCCAAATTTATTTTGTTTGTCTGCAGCTTTAGCTATAAAATGTTTGCTGCGGTTTTCTATGTTCTGCGAACTCGTTAGTCAAAAGTTGATTTTTCACTGCCTTCAATCAATTATAATCAGTCAGTACCTTTTAGATTCTTGACTGGCAGCAGTGAAAAACCAATGTCACAATAAGCCGTTGAAATTTCCGAGTTCGCAGAATATCGAAATTCGTAGTAAGTAAAAGGAGAGAAAAACTTGATAAAAATTAAAGGGAATACCTTTTGTGTATCAACAGAATGTAGCCTGGTTGTCTCCCCCGTGTGTCGAATGAGGTCGAAGAAATGCTTGTAGCCGACGCACAACAGGGAATCTTTGTTCGCTGCTAGGGTGACTGTCATCAATAGCGGGGAATCACTCATCGTTATTTCCTGAGAGAGAAGAATAGCATTATGAATTAAAACATGAATGAATAAACGAACGAACGAACGAACGAGCCAATGAATGGAGGGAGGGAGGGAAGGAGGGAGGGAAGGAGGGAGGGAGGGAGGGAGGGATGGGTTGATGGATAACAAGTTCCAAGAAATCGTCATGAAAACGTCTGTGTTACCTTGACAACAACGAACCCCTCGATAAGCTCTCGTGTACCACTAGTAGCAGCTGCTGACGTGTTCCATACAACAGGGTATTTCCATTTCATCAGGAGAACTTTTTTGCCGCAGGCCACGCCCATGAACAGTGGTTGGCTGCCACTAGTATGACTGACAGCATACAGATGACATCCTGTAAAGATAAACGAGAATTCTCATAAGCTATGCACCTACGATTATTAGACATCATGTGACAAACGAACAGAATTGGCCCTATATCTCTAGTCTTCCTCCTCCCACCCTCCCTCCCTCCCTCCCACCCTTCCTCCGCAAAACGCATCGCTAAATTCCAATTCTATCTGTGAGTTAGCCGTGTTCTGGGTTAGATCAGCCCAGAGGTTGTTTAAGGGTTTCATCTGTGAGTTAGCCATGCCCTGACTTAGATCAGCCCAGAGGTTATTTCAGGCTTCGATCTGTGAGCTGGCAGTAACCTGGCTAAGATCTGCCCAGAGGTTGTTTCAGTTTTCGAAAAATGAGTTAGCCGTGCCCTGACTTTGATTGGACAGCCCTGAGCTTGTGTCAGGGTTCAAGGGTGTAAGTAAGCCGTGGTCTGACATTGATCAGCTCAGAGGTTGTTTCAGGTTTGCTCTGTGTCATGTATACCTTGTCTTAGATCAGTAAAGAGTATAAATTTAAAATAAAATAAAGAGTCAAATAAGTTTGTTGACTTTATACCTTTCGTTTTGGGTAACTTGTGTTGCTTACAGTCATCTTTAGCTTTGGCCACCTGATCTTCATCCTCGAAGTTAAACAGTTTAAAGGCGCAGATTCTCGAATTGTGGAAATCCTTTCCTGAAATAAAAATTGAACTACCAGTTAATAGACCCTTATCAAAATTGTCTTGGATGTGAGACTAACATGTAAATACAAAAGAAATGCCACAACTTTTAGCGAGAAAAAAATCACATTCAAAGATAATATTGAGAAGGGTCCATTAGATTGACGAGTAGACAGTCTTGGTAGTCTTCATCCTCGGGAACCCAGGGGTAAAGT